GTCAGGGGTCCCTTACAGCCTCAACAGAGAAGCTCATGCTAGTTTCACTGCCATAAAAATGGCACAATTTGGGCCTTCAGAGCTGGACCTCCAGGCTGTGGTCCCACTTCCCGCCTACAAACCCCCACCTTGGGGTCACTGGCCTGGAAAGATCTCCCAAATCAGCTCACTGTTGTGCCATGGCCTCAGACCTGTACACCCAGCACCTACATAGCTGTAGCTAAGAGTAGATACAGATTAATCAGGGTCAAATCCTTTAAAGGTCTCATTCAGTCTACGGCTCCCCATGAGCATCTGTGTCCATGTTCCCCAAGAGAGGTGTCCCTACTGAATGAGCAGACCAGGCGCTTTGTGGCACCAACCAGCCTGGCAAAACCTTCTCTGACCTTCCACCACCCTGAAAAACATGTCTCTCCATCATCATTACTGCTAATCTGTGTACGGATCACACATGTGCACAGGCACATGACACTGTACTCCCGAGAAGCAGGTCAGCCGTCCCCAAAACAGGGTGCCCCAGAGCCACCTGCAACTACCCACCTCAGGGGTCACTACAACACCCTGCCTCTCCATTGCCCTTCACTCAGCCTGACACCTCCCAACGCTCAGCTGGCTCCACCTCATCAGGCAAACCCCCGGCCCTCACACTCACTGGAGAGGGCCTTGTCCACCCTGAGTCAGGATGATGAGTTCTTCCTGGCCCCAATCACCCACTTCCCCAGGGCTCCACCCCCCCAGTACATCAAAACTTCTCTGTCCTCCACAGAGCTATAACATCACCATCCAGGTTGTGGGGGTGGGATGAGGCAGAGTTTGTACTGTATTTCTGTCCCCACATTTAGCTTCTAGGTGATGTCCCTCCATGCGTACTCTTGGTGCTTGGTGATCTCAGATCTGGATTAAATGCTGGTCATCTAAAGTCAACATATTCTTGTCATTCCCTCTAATTACCTTTAACTACTGAAAGAATGTCCTCAAACTCCAACCAACATTTCTTCATCAGTCCATTACATATGTGTTTCTTCTTCAAATGGAAATCTGTTTTGGATTAATCTCTCCCGATTGGATAAGCAGTACAGTCTCATTTTCACAAATACCAACAATGTAGAAACAATAAAGGAAACACTAGGACAGGAAGGCCTTCCCCAGGATCCCATGACTCCACGGTAACACCCTTTGTAGAGCCCAGGACACTTCCCCCCATTTTTTATGCATATGTAAACTTACAACATTTTTTCATGCTGCAGTCATCCAATTTACACTGTTGTCTTGGCTGTTTAACTGCAGTGTGCCTGACCTCCCTGTTCACAGCTGTCACAACATGTGGCATGTCAGTAATACATTTGTCCCTCCTCTCCAGAGAGGCATCTGCTATGTCCACAGGTCTCACTGAAGTGGCTGAACCCATCATTCCTCTGTTAGACTACCTTTCTGGAAATACATGGTCCCATCTGGTGTGTTTATGGATTACTCTGCGAGGCACATGGTGGCTGTGAAGATAGGTCCATACCCACAGACTGCCAGCTCTGAGACTGTCACCTCTGCCAGCCTGAGCCAGGAGCTGACAGTTATTTCCTGCTCTTCTGTCCCAAACACTGACTTATTAAACCTCTACACAATAACCACTGTTGTG